CCAAAGAACAAAAGAAGAACTTTAACAAGAAGTCATTACATATAACGACTTGTTATTGGAGAAGTAGTGCCAAATTTATAGGTTTTAACATTCAGTCACACACTTTCTGTGATCTTTTGTTGTTGTTGCAAAATTTTCAGTAAAATTAACTTCTCACTGTTGTCAGATGAAATAAAGGACTAAGCATTATCTTTAAGTCAGCATGTAATTCAGCATTTCATTTTCCTTTATTCTGCAAGCTCATTTACTTTCATCAATGCCTTTGCTGAGCCTGATGAAAGAAATATTTTGTATTTTGTAACTGTGGAATAGTTCAAAAAAGGTCAAAACCTCCATATTGCAGTTACTTGATAACAAGGTTGATCTCATACAGAAAATCATACCATACCACAAGACTAGCCACAAATTTCAAACTTGGCATTTTGACAATGATTGCTTTGGATTCAGAATGTGACTTTCTTTTACTGGCTCCTGTGAGGATGTTGTATTATGTAATGGAGATCAAGGCTTTGTAGTCCTCTCCCAACTGGCACTGGAGTGCATGAACAGAATCAATTCTACTTTATCATGTCACTCAGTTTCTCCACAGGTAACTAGAAAATACGTTATATGCTACAATAATGATTCAAACAATGAGTGTAAGCAGAAAAATGGACATACTTATTTTAAATTAAGTCAAAGAATGTCAATGTCTTGGTGCAACAGTTGGCTGCATCATCCAACATGAAATTCATTGCATGTTACAGAAAAGCTCTTGGATTAAGTCTTTTATTTCTTTTCGAGAAGCACTGTTGTTGCTTGTCATGTTGACTACAATGCCAAAACCTTTTGTCTAGTAAATCTTCCAGAGGCACCACATTTCTTAACGTTTCGGCCCGGCATGGCCTAGTGGTTAGGGAACTCGACTCGCAATCTGTGGGTTGCGGGTTCGAATCTCCGTCCCACCAAACATGCTCGCCCTTTCAGCCGTGGGGACGTTATAATGTGACGGTCAATCCCACTATTCGTTGGTAAAAGAGTAGTCCAAGAGCTGGCGGTGGGTGGTGATGACTAGCTGCCTTCCTTCTAGTCTTACACTGCTAAATTAGGGACGGCTAGCGCAAATAGCTCTCGTGTAGCTTTGCGCGAAATTAAAAAAAAACCTATAAGTACTAAAAATGGACAATAACACCATTTTTCTTTGTCAGTGTGTAGGAACTATAGAAAAATATCTTTGTGCCAAATCCCATGTAAACTAGTCAAAATACAGCCGAGTGATTGGACAAAAACCCCAAATTATACGTTTTTGTGAGCTCCCCCCCCCCCCCAAAAAAAAAAAGATTTCAAAACGAGCAAATTTTTTGGTTGTCAATGTGTTGGATTCATGAACATATAAATTTTTGGGCCGTTTTATCTTTGACCACATCAAATCCTTAAAAAGGTCTAAATTAAAGAAATGTCTGGACGTATTGAATCAAGGTATTAGGTCGTCAATCAATTAATGTCGCGTTTTGTAACACTTTCATTAACCCCCCCCAAAAAAAAAACCTACATCGCGTATAATAGTTAAACGAACCACCTAAACGTCACGTTAATGTAGCCTATATAATGTGTAAAGTGTAGTATATTCTAATCCCTTATAATGATGGCACACGACGAGACACACATTCGGCTTGTAATGCTGTTTGAATACAAGAAGGGAAACAACGAATATCAAAGAAGTTTATGGAAATGTTTTGAACGTTCGCAAGTGTCAAC